GAAAGCCTTTACCATTTTCTATGTATGCGTACAGTGTGGGACGGCTGCTGTCCGTCACCCCATGGTAGACCAAAATCTAGGTTTGAGCAGTCATGGGAACATACTTGTCAGGAAAATAAACTTTATGATGCTAGACGCCTAATGTGTGGCTAATCTGTGCATTCCAATGGTCAATTACGTACCTTTGGAAGATAACTGATGCAGAACGAAAAATGCCAACCGCATGGAATACCAAGCACCCATAACAGCCTAATGATATAATACCTGAATTGGTACTATCAGGCAAGATAATGTTCTCCAGGTACATATCAAATTACTTTGCAAATGAGTTGCCAATGGAGGTAGTCCGTATTCACTGACTCTGTGATTTCAAGAGTGCCGTTTCAGAAAACAGTCAGTGATTAATGCCATTTAACTTTGTCAAACAGTTTTTATTCATGCATTCCCGAAATGCACGTAACGGACACACGCCAGCTAAAACTATTAAAGGGCTAAACTTCTAAAACAAACTCAAAATGTTTTATTGTGAATAATCCGACTTCATTTTATTTAGCAGCTCGTTGGCGGTTCTCGTTGTTTTACTGGTAGAAGAAGCCGTTGTTTAGCTCAATTAGCGTCAGATTTCAGTCGCCTGCGGAATCAGTGACGAGCAGGATGATATCGGCGTGCAATCACGAGAAACCCGGCATCCTACTCTGCGATACACATGGCAACCGGTCCAAAGATTGACCGAAACCAATCGTTCAAAATGATGTTGTATAATCGAATTTCGCATCCTGTAACTTTTCCGGAAGACTTCTTCTTCTTCTTGTTAAACAACCCAGAGTTTGTGCAAAAACACCCTGAAACGAATGATTTGGTTACCGTTGAATCAGTACCGGGTAATTAAGTGTCTGCAAATTTTCAACTTTTAAATCTCTTCGCTATGCCTCTATAGAATTTTCCAGTTATCAGAACTATCCGACGCGCTTTTCGACTCAAACCAATTATCACCGGTTTTATTCAGTATAACAGTAAAGAATGGTTGAATAAAGGTGCAATCGAGAGCTTAAATCATTACTGAAATTTATTATGCATCATAGTTTGTACCGCCAACCATAAGTACGAATGGAATCAACTGCTGGTCCAGTTTAACTCCATAAACAAATTCAACCATTCTACTTAGAGGGTAAATTCAGAAGACGGAGCATTTGTGCTGTGTTGCCCGCGGATCTATTTGTCAAATGTAAAGGATAATGATGTACCCGGTAAAACGTGAAAAAAGACAAATGAGAAAATCTTGTTCACCCGTGTACAGAGCGACATGAATGGGAAAGGGATCAAGTATATTCTATTAAGGTCTAACAGCTCAGCGTCAAAAAACCCAACTGCATGATTTCTTCATCCTGATAACATACTTCATCATCTTGCTTGAATCAATTTTACTTTCTAGGCAAAGCTGCGAAGATATACGTGAAATAATTTAGTAATCCTCCTCAAGGAAGTACCTCTCAACGGTGAAGTGATAT